TGGTCAATTCAGGGCCTATCCTTTATGTGGGTGAGTTGAACTTGTAATAATTGTGCTTTTAGTTACCTTCCAATGTTAGCTTTTGATCTTAAGCAATCTAAACATGCCTCATCGGGATCAGCTCCATGTGATGTACAAGCCTTTCATAAATAAACAGCAAAAGATTTCAAGTTCTAAATATCACACAATATTACAATTGGACATAGCTAGATTTATTCACTTACATCTGAATTGTAAGCCAGCAATTACTCTATATGACATCAATATGAATGGCAGAAGTCAATAATTGTTATATTCAATACAATAACTAGGATATGCATACTGTATTTAGAGATATTGTTTACCCTAATAGCATCGCAATAGGCACAGCATTCAACATTGTAGCCTTTTCCACCAAGAGTGAAGTCCTCATCATTTTTCTTATTCAGAAGAAGCAACAGGGCTTTGTAGTCCAGAGTTACTGTAAAAAATTTGTACTTGAGGTGTTAGGGACACTTGTACTGATAGCAAAGTATAATACAGTGAGCCCCAGCTCACTTAACACCTCTCACACATAAATGCACAAACATCATACAGAAAAATCAATGTGTTCACCACTCTGATCAAAGGAGAGCTTGGAACAGAAGGTCCAAGTTCATTTTGTTTGCATTCAAGATACACATCTAACGGAGTAATCAAAGAATTTTGTAATACCTGTGAACTTGATTTTGTACTTTCTGCCATCCACTACAATGCCATGTTTTTTAATGCAGTTCTTCTGGGAATTTAGATTTCTCAGGAGCTGCTTTAAATTGTCTCTAATTTGGAAGTAGAAAAACACATAATAAGTGTACTCAACAACTAGGTTGTCTGCAATGCAATTGCTCACAATACACAGTCAATAACATTCACTTGAAATTAAAAAAAATAAGATTGTCAGCATGCAGAAGGCCGATGGGACACCATATTTACTCAAAAAGTGTGCTCCTCCCAGATACGCTACATCAAACAGCCCACAAAATTTAACAAGTGCTACAGGGATTTTTCAAGTTTTCAAATGCCCCACATGACTACAGCACAGACCTAGAAGGGTTTACGTGCAAATTTACGTGGTGCTGACATTGACCCAGGCCTTTGAATTCCAAAGGAGAATAACACTGACATTAATTGCAAAGTTGAAAAGGTAATTTAACTTATTTTCTTTATTTCAGTTAAGCACTTAATTATTATGATGTGTATGCACTGACCTTTTCTCTTTACAGTTTGCTATAGCAAGTGGGTAGATGGACAGTGCACTCTCTGAACTCTTGTTTGCAAAGCCAATGGGAGCTACACCCACAGCTACCTGATCTCTGCCTTTTGAACAAAAATATAGGATAAATAATATTTTGCTCCCACATATATAGCTTCTTCAGAATCATAACATATATCAATTCAGTGCCTTAGAGAAAACCTGGCACTGATATATAATATACTTCTGTAAAGATTTTTCTGTATACATAATCCAAACAATGACCATTTGAGCAATCAATAGTAAAGACAGCTATATCCAGCTTGAAAGCACTGCAGATTACAGATGTCAGGTCTGAATGTCTAAGACAGAAGTCGACAGGCCATTACTGTATTTATTTGAATAACTGCCCACTCTGAAAGCCCAAAAATTATGAATTAGCCCCCACACCCACTGACTCCCAACATTGAAGGGGCAGCACTGGTGAATTCACTCATTGCCATTATGGATTATGCCATTATTATGCCATTATGCCATTATTATGTGGATGAGATAAAAAAAGTGGATGAGATAAAAA